TCATTATTTGAAAAATGCATGTGACTTTTATTGTATTATGTAATGATTGTTATGCTCAAAAGTGGTGCTAATATATGTGTGTGTGCATATACGTGTATACATATAAGTAAACATAAGAATACATATGTATATGTAGATTATAGAGGGAACTACTTCTTATGGAAGGTATGAAAGGTCCTTCTATCAGCCTGGAAAGGTTGTTTTTATGCAGGAAGATAGATACCTTATATAAATGTATATATACATATGTATGCATGTATATGTGTTTTTAAAGTAATAGTAATTGAGCCATCTAGTAACAAGCCCGTAATGCCACAGGGGGAATCCAGTCTCTAGCACCACAGTCGTAGCTCTTGAGTTAATTGCCCATTCTCTCTTGTTTCTTTTTCTCTTTTCCTATATAAGAATTAGGCTAAATTGTTGACAGTGACTGATGGATATATTACTGCTTACTATGCCCCTTATCCCTGTGCTCAGTTCAGATGTTGTGGGTAACACTTGAGAGAGCCCTTTCTCTCATCACATAATGAAGCAAATCAGGAGATCTACAAGTTGCCTTGAGGCATCGAGGGATACCAGGTAATTTTAGTAGAAGTGAATGACTAACCTGTCTTTCCTGGAAACCAGGTGACTTGAAGAAGTCTTCATCCATCACCTTTTTAAAGGCAGTGATGTGAGGGTCAGTCCAGATCAGTCTAGATAGATTCTGGAGTCCAGTCCAGAGCATATCAGTAGCTCTCATCCCTTGAGCCAGTCTTCCCTTGAGTTACCCTAACTGTATTTACAGAATTATGGCTAAAGAAATAGACTTGGCTGTGTTTGGGCATGCAGAAATAACATAGAAAATTTGGTCACTATAACAAAACTTGGATTTTTTTGGAGAGGGTGTGATTTTGTTTTGTTTTTTAGAATTGCTTATGCCATATATGTAAAAGATGGAGACTCCATATTCAGACATGTATTGCAATCATTCTCTTACTCTGTAAACTCTAGTGCTCCCTTTTACCTCCCAAATACAGACATCTGTTGGATATTTAAAGCCCTTCAAAACTTGACTCTGACCTATCTTTTTAATCTCTTCTTAGAGTCTATAATTTCTTTAAAAGCTCAACTTGAACATCACCCTTTCCATTAGTTTGTTTTTTTTTTTTTTTAAACATTGATTCTATCCCTCTCCCGCCCCCAGTTCCCATGAGCTACTAGGCCTTCTTCTTCTATTACCTTGAATGAAATTTGCATAAACTTTGAATATATTTATATATGCACTTGTTGTCTTATATAATAGAATACGAACTCCTTGGAGGCAGAGACTGTTTGATTTTTGTCATTGTATCTCCAGTACCTAAAATAGTACCTGGAAAAAATAAGCATTTCATAAACGCTCGTTGATTGTTTAATACTTGAGAAGGAAGCCAAAATCAAGCCTTTGCTCTTTGCTTTCCAGGAAATGAGTATTTTAGAGGATCCCGTATCCCTTTCCTGAACTTAACACAGTGCCTGGTCCGTAGTAGATGCTTAATAAGTGCTTGTTGACTTGACTTGTTAACTTTCACAGTTTCTTATTACAATACTGTTTGGGAAAGAATTCCAGAATTCGGGATTACCGGGTTTTGTTTTGTTTTTGTTGTTTTTTTTTTTTGAGGTTAAGGGTATTCCTCATTTGATTCCTCAGTTTCACTGAATGGCCTCCTGAATACACCTTGTACATCTTTGGCTCTTATGCCTTTAGTCTTGATGTTTTCCCTACCCAAAAGTAGCCTTGCCCCTCTTGTCTATCTACTAAGTGCTTCAAGGCCTAGCTTAAAACAAGTCCTACCATATTACCCAATCTGCACTGATCTTTCCAGTCTCCTATTTCTATAGCACTGATTGCCTAAACCACTTAGATGGCACATCTCCCCAACTACCATTTGTATTAAACTACCTTTTATTTATTTGTATTTATTCTCTCTATATTAATTCTACATATTCTTATGTATTTGCTGTCTTACCCATTGGAATGTAAACCTTTTAAGAGTAGTAATCATTGCATTCTTTATATCCCTAGGGCCTAGCACAGCATTTTGTATAGTCTTAATAAGTACTTGTTGATTGATTGTCTTTTAATGTCTCTGCTGGTAGGGCAGGATAGTGGAAATAGTTCTGGATTCTGAGTGAGTAAAAGGATCTGTGTTGTGCCCTGTTTCTCTTACTTACCTGCTGGGTGACCTTGGACAAGGGAACACACCTTTCCCAGTTATTTTCCCCACCTATAAAATGGTTATGGTTTTTGCTTTCAGTTTTATTTGACCCAAAGGCAAAACAGGGATCATAGATCCAGAGCTCGAAGAGACCTCTGACGTCAACTTGTCCAGTTCCCATTTAACTGATGCCTAGGGAAGCTCAGTGACTTTGCCTTGGTTGTACAGATTCTGAGTATCCGAGGTGGAAGCTGAGCTGCACCTCAATACTTCCTGCTGTACCTTGGCATAGTAGATTCTGAGCTGGCCTTGAAGCCAGGAAGACCTGCATTCTGGTGCTGCCTCTAACACGTACTAGTTAATCTGTGTGATCTAAGGCAGATCACTTAGCCACTCAGTGCTCGCGATTATAAATTACAAAGACAATGCCATCTTGCACTAGTAGAAGGAATGCCTTCATCCTGTGCCATTGAAATCACAGGTCCACTCCCTATCCACCATTCCCTAATCCTTGCCCTGTATGTTATGAGGAAAATGCTTTACATATTTCATGATAGATTGTATACAGGGTATTCCAAAAGTCTTAGTGCATTTTTAAGCTATTAAAGCTAAAAGCTGCACTGAGACTTTTGGGCCGCCCTCTACTAAGTTCATCTATTTCTTATATTTCATATCTCTTTCAAAAATTCATTCCATATTGCCCATGAACAGAGGATTCTCTTCTGTTTGTTTGTTTCCCTCCCCCCTCTCTCTCCAATGAGCAGGAATCTGTAATCCACACAGTGCCTAGAAATTCAATTCAATAAAAAATCTACTATGCATAAAGACCCCATTAGGTGCTGCGTGTAGAAAAACAAAAAACCACAGACCCTGCCTTCAAGAAGCTTATGATCTGATACAGCATGAGATGTATGCAAATAACTATAATACACATTAGAACAAGGGTAAGTGCCCACTGTGTGCATTGTAGGCAGTAAATGATTTTGACTTAAGCTTGTTGTAATAATCAGCACCAACCCCTACAAGTGTTTTCTTCAGTGCAATGTAATGACTCATAAGTTTTCTCTTATTCTATAAAATCTTTCCACTGACACTTAATTCCTGAAGCTCTGGTTTTTTGGATTTGATCTAGTAAGACCGAGTAGCCAGCGTGTTCTATCTGTTATTTATTTTCTATGACTTGCTATAACCGTCCCTCCTCAAAACAACAATAACAACCAATAACAGCCACACCATACTGTTTGGAGACTCTTAATCGAGCAATAAGTACTTTCATCTTAAAATGTCAACCCCAAAGAAGAACCAGTAATCAGATTGCAAATCTTCTTCTCTTAACGGCCTGAATCTTTAGAAAGGTCATTATACTGGTCAGTTGAGGTATTTATTTTAAACAGACTTCTTCTTTCCCGGTTCTTCTGTAATGTCTCAAGTGAGCATCTTTCTTTCCTAATTGACCTTCCAAAAGTTTTGGAACTTGAAAGCTATTCCTGGCCCAACCACACTGTTGTAGCGGTTGAGAAAAGATTTACCCAGGCTTGTAGCTCCCCCTCACTCATTAGGGGGGAAAAAGAGCCCCCAAAGCAGGGCACTAGTGAAAACCCTTGCCACTTCCATGGTGCTGGTGGGCAGCACCGAAAACTTCACCCTCCCTTCTCTTTGAATGCAATTCCTTTTCCTTGATGTTAATGCGAGTTGTTCCTTACTAAAAGTAATAAAAGGAAATGAAGACACATTCTAAAATGAAACTTGACTCTAATCCATTCATCATCTAATACCAGCCTCTTTATCTTCGCTGGTACCTAATCTGGTTAAATGTCCCTGTTGTAGGATTTTAGTGGAAATCCTCTACTGGGAATAGGGTTTTTTGCAATTGGATTACTCTCAGTAAATGGCCTAGTAGTTCGCTAGTTTCAGCTTAATTTTTTCTTTGTGATCTTGCTAGGCTAAGTTATCATAAAACCCAGTACTATTAGGGGGGTAGGGTGTAAGAATAATTTTATGGGGACTAGCTATAGGAATGAAAAAAAAAATCTTTAAAAAAAAAAAGACTTTCCTCTTCTCCCCCCTACCAATCATTAAAATTGCCTATTCCTTGTTTTCCAGAACTGCCTTTTTAAAATGCATACCTTTTATTAGCACAATTCATCATCATCCAGTTAACTTATTAGTGCTCTCTGATGAATTCCTAATGAGCCTGGGCTGCTGTAATATGCATAAAATATGCAGGTGATTGCCTTGCAGTTTAGCAGTCCCCAGTAAAGTTCAGACTCGGAGTAGTGAGCAAGGAGGGCTTTTCATCCATGCTGTTTGTAAATGACTGCAGAATATGGGGAAGATTCAGGGGAGCCAGGTTTGGGATCCAGGGCTGACTGGAGTGGGAACAAAGATGAGACCCCAGTCACCCTCCTGGAAATGAAGGCCCCTCCTTTCCTCCCCTGTTGTACTCCTTCCACCCTCACTTCTTCAACCCCGGCCCCCCCGTCAACCTTTATCATTGAGAAAAGCTCTTGCTCTCACATACTGCAACATCGTGGGTCAGAGAGATTAAAGTCAGCTGCTTCCCCACTTATGTGCCCACAGGATAAAGTGCCAACTGATAGGATTTATGATGGGAGGAGGTGGGTGGAGATTTAAAATCCAGACCCAACAGAGAAGCAAAAACGGAACTGTGACAACCCATAAAAGATGGCTGACGCGTTCTTTTTCAGGAGTTGGGGAGACAGTAGGTGACCAGGCAGTTTGGTTGTCCTGCTGACTTTGAAGCTGATGGGATGCTGCTGTTAATAATGTGTCTCTCTCTTCTTGTCTTTCCCTTTTCAGTCTAACAAAGTTCCCGTTGTGCAGCACCCTCACCATGTACACCCTCTTACGCCGCTTATCACATACAGCAATGAGCACTTCACCCCAGGAAACCCACCTCCACACTTACCAGCCGACGTAGATCCCAAAACAGGTAGGCCTCGGATGGACATGGTGGCCCAGAAAAGGAAGGACCCGGGCTGGGGGGGGGGAGGAAGACAGAGGAGAAAAGACATTGTTGGGTAAAAACAGCCTAGGAGGCATCAAGGCCTAAAGATGTGAAATGGGAAAAGCACTTGGGAGTCAGAATGAGGATAGCTTATTCTCTCTGCCACTCTAGGATTGAAAGAATGCCCTTTGGTTACCTCAATTCTACTTGCATTTGTCCAAAGATTATGAATTTTTTGTTTATTTGGTTTTTTTTTGACTTGATAGAAGTCAGTGCTTTCATTGTGCTGTTATTCCTTGGAAGACTGAAGTAAGTCCTTTGATGCTTCTGGACATTGTGAAGTGGCTGTTTTTGGCTGCTGAAGCCAAGAGTTATCCTTCCCAAGTCTTGGATTTGGCAATTGTGTCCTCTTTAGGTGGCCGACATAACCCTACTGCTCAGCCTCCAGAACAGGCATAGAAAAGGACATCCCAGAGCAATCCCTGTGCCCACATCTTTGCAGCTTCTTGGGACTGTAGGAGTCTAGGGATAGCCCATCCTAAAGGGGGTATAAGCAATCCCAGCACCTCCATCCTTCCCCCCAAAGCAGGAGGAAGTCCTCCGGTTCCTCGGGTAGCGAAGGTACCACAGTCACTTAGAGATTAACTGGGGGGTACAGGGCTAGTCTCTGACTTACCAACTTGTTGGCGTCCCTCTTGGTGGTATGATTGTGTTCTGCCTTTTCCCCCAGTGTCACAGTTAATTGTTGTCTCTCATTTTATAAATAAGAAAACTGAAGTTTGCTACTTGCTATGTATTATTTCTTTACATTTGAATCAAATACAGAAGACAGTGTCCCCAGAGCCACTCATTCAAACAGTGGGCCAGGTTGATGGGAGAACTAGAATTTGCCAGCCCTCCCAACTCCCCACCCTGGGCCTTGTTCTCAAGAAGTATAAGATGCCTTCTTGTGCCCCTGTAACTATTATCTCTTTCCCTGGACACATTTTAGTTGCTAACCTTAATTGTAAATAAATAAGTAATACAACAGGGGAGGCTCTGGGGAGGGTAGTTTACATCCATAATTTCTCTTTCAGTCTTGCATAAAACACTAGCTTGCTGCTTTTTTATACTTCTGGTTAGTTAATTAGAAGGTTAAATTTAAAATGGTGATTACATGTCATTTTGTCAGAGGAATTGTTTGGGGCAGGGCTGACGTAGGCAGCCTATTTACACTGCTGTTACCAGCTACCTCTGAATGAAGCCACACATTAGCTGGTTTTCACCAGCGTCGACCACTGGGTCTCCTTTTTAATTGCATTGGAACGCAGGCTGCACATGGCTGAAAGAGCCTGGCTTGCTGTCCCTGGGCACTGCAAGTGAATGGCAGAGTCAGCCCCTCATTTAAATAATGGTAGTACAGGGAATAGCTTTTAAATGGTTATCGTAAAACATATGATTAACGGCTGTAGAGTGTTTACTTTTCCTCTGTGAACATTCTTTCAAGTGTGCAAATGGCTCGCTGTATAGTTAAAGCCCAGTTAATCTGTTTGGTTTTTGTAATGGAGAGAAAGCAGTGTCCGCGTGAAAATGTCACACAGGGAGATTTAATTTAGAGATTAAAAGCTTCCTGAGTGAATTAAAAAAGAAATAGTTTACAGCCAAGAATATTCTACTCCTTCACTTTCATGCTGTCTTTTTAAATTCTCCTCTGCTATTGTTCATTAACTTAACTACCTTCTCTTCCCTGTCCTTGTTATCAACTTTAGTGCTTTTCAGTGGATTTAGGGACACTATCACACTTGCTTCAACAGAACCCTGCAAAGTTCTTTTCCCATTTTTGAGGCTCTACCCAATCCATATTTTGTAATGATTCTTACCTATGAAATGAATCTTGTGAGTGGTGCTATGCCCATTTGACAGATGGAGTTTTAACTGAGACACACAACAAACCTTCATTCAGTGAATTAAATGCAAACTTCATTATATTTTCTATTTAGTCTTTCTTCTATCCCTTGATTCTGATCCCATGTGCCTACTGATAGTTAACATTTTCAAATATATACCATCAAGGTGAATGGGAGTACATTAAAAACAATTTTTATATCAACAAATACCTTTCAACCACCCTACTTGAGAAAAAAGTAGTGTTATTCAGGCAGTGGGAAGAATTAAAAAGCTAACCTTTAGAAAATCTACATGAAATAGGACCCTAAATATATGGTTAGAAGGGACTTGAGAAGACTTGCAGAGGTGAGGAAACTGATGTCCAGGGAGGTTGTGGCATGCCCAAAGTCACCCAGATAGTACATTAGGCTGGGTTTTTGAACCGAGGTGTTCTGATTTGAGAGCCAGTATTTTTTCCACTATACCAAGCTGTTTTCTACATACGAAGGAATTGGGCAGAGATACAAGCTGAGCAGTTTCAACGGGTGGCAATAAAAGTAAAGTCTTTGTAGCTTACTAAAGAGAAAAAAAGTTTGAAGCAAAATTGCACTGGAGTCAAAGCAAACCAAATTCACTAGTTAGTATAGAGGGGAGTTGCTTATTAGAACTGTAAGAGTTTTTTTCTTCCTTCCTCCTTATATTCTTTTCCTCCCTTGCCTTCTCCTCTCCTTCCTCTTCTCAGTCTTCCTTTTCCACCTTTGTCATTCTTTTGTCATTCTAATCCCTCTTCCTCTCTCCTGCTTCTCTCTATCTCTCCCTTCTTGTACTTATGATTTATGATTGTTTTCTCTCTCTAGGAATTCCACGACCTCCACATCCACCAGATATATCTCCCTATTACCCGCTATCACCTGGCACCGTAGGACAAATCCCCCATCCGCTAGGATGGTTAGTACCACAGTAAGGAGTTCCATTTTTTTATTTCCATTTCTTTTTTCTTTTAATGGGCATAATTTATTATTAATTCTTAAATAAGAAAGGGGAGGGCAAAGTTATGGGAAAGAATGCTTGCTAAGTGGCCCCTTGAGAGGAAAGCATGAATCAATAGAACCAGATAAAATAGGAGAATGGCTCTTGTTTCCTGGCCATGGAAGAGCCATACACCTGGTGGAAAGGAATGTCTCACGTCTCATCGAAATTTTTGCCAGTTGGGTGGCTCAGTCTGCTTTGGAAAAGCAAAGCTTGAACCCTTAACCATTCTGTGAGGCCAAACTGAAGAATTAAATTCACTAAGTATCGGTACCTAGAAAGCCTCTATTGTTTGCCATTCACCCTTTTTCCATTTACAAGTTGCATCCTGCATTAAAATTTCTTTTGAACTCTTCAGTAATAATAACAGCAATAATAATTAATATTTATATAGTGCCTACCACAAGCCAGGCACCGCGTTCAATTCTTTACAAGAATTATCTCACTTGATCCTTACGATAACCCTAAGAGGTAGGTGCTATTATTATCCCCATATTAGAGTTGAGGAAAACAAGGCCAACAGAGGCAAAGTGATTTTGCCCACTGTCACATAATTGTCTGAAGCTGGAATTGAACCCAGGCCTTCCTGACTCCAGAGAGGTTACTCTATTCACTGTGCCACCTGCCTGTTTACCCCCATTGCTGCTGATCACATTGGACAATGGCCATTTCAAATGGGAAGAAAAAAAAATTATGTGGACCAGGAAATTCTTTTCATTAGAAAACAAAATGCTAGCGGAGGGAGTCCTACCAGGAAGAGATTTCACATGAACCTATAGTGTTGCTAATGTTATTCTGTAACCTCAAAGTACTTAAAAGACTGAGCTCAATCAATGCCAATCAGTCCCCTCCTTCACACATAAATGCCCTTTATATTCTTCCTATTTAGAAATAATAGTTGATTTTTACATAGTACTTTAAGGCTTATATACCATTTTATATACATTATCTCACTTTATCCTCCTAACGATCCTGGGAGGTAGGAATTACATGTGGGCTTTTTTTTTCCCCTGTGGGGGAATAGAGTGAAATCTGGATGTGTGATTTCATCAGTATATGGTACTCCCAGTATAGAAATTGCCTTTATCAGTGCTCAAAAGAGACTGCCAACTCATCTATAAATGATTAACCTATAGGGTTGTCTAGGGTACTTGCTCACCATCATCATCAACAAGCATTAATTAAGCACCAGCTATGTGCCAGGCACTGTGCTAAGCATTAAAGATACAAAGTAAAGCAAAATGGACTTGCCCATTATCCTCTCGTTAATGATTGAGTCAGAAGCAAGATCTGAACCCCCTCACCTTTTTGACTCCTGTAGCCTCTATTACCATACTACTTCTCATTATAATAGTACTACAGATATTCTTATCCCTAGGAGGCAGTGTCACATAGTGAATAGAAAGCTGGAAGGGTCAGGAAGTTTTGAGTTCAAGTTCCATCTCTGACACATGCTGGCTGTACGACCCCGAACAAATCACTTTGTTGTTGTTGTTCATTCCAATACCACTCTCTGTGACTCCATTCGAGGTTTTCTTGGCAAAGATACTGGAGTGGTTTGCCATTTCCTTGTGCAGATTATTTGGCAGATGAGGAAACTGAGGCAAACAGGGTGAAGTGACTTGCCCAGGATCACACAGCTGATAAATGTCTGAGGTCAAATTTGAACTTGGGTCTTCCTGACTCTAGGCCTGATGTTCTATCCAATGAACTGCTTAGCTGCCCTGAATAAATCACTTAACTCCTCAATTTTCTGGGCAGCTCTCTGTGTCCCTGAGCAGGTGCTGCTCTGCGTAGGTAAAATGATTTCCTCATTGGAATCTTCTTTTTTTCAATGAAATCATAGAATCATGCTAGTGTGGGGAAGGAGGGGGATTCTCCCTCTATTACAGAGAAGGAAATTGGACCTTACAGAGTTAAAGGATTTGCCTTCAGTCGTGCTGCTAGTAAGTTTCATAGTTCAGGACTTGAACCCAGGTCTCTTCCAAGTTCAAAGCTCTTTTTTATTATTCCAAATGTTTTATGATCCAGTAACAAATTCTGAATATTAAGTCTGGTAATAACTATTTTCTCTCCATTGTCCTTTTGGGGAGACAGAGGGAGGATGGTTAGCAGTTGACCCATTTATTCTTTTTTAAAAGGGGCTGGCCAGTCCTAGCAGAGGATCCTGGCATCACTGTCTCCCCATGCTCAGCTGATAGAGAGATGTTTGAAGGCTAGATAAAAAGGAATAGCCAACTCAGACAAACCTCCATCAGAAAAAGTTGTGGGTCTTTCATGAGGAAGCTATTTTGCGTGTTGCTGTATTTTTTAATTATTGTAATGAGGTGTGATTGTCTATTGGTTACCCACAATTCTTCTTGGGGACTCTCCCCCCCCGGTAACTCTTGTCAACACTTGTTAATTTGACAAAAGGCTACAAATTAAGCTCTGTTAATTTAATGTTTTCTCACCGAGATCTAAATACCGAAAGAGGCCCAAAGCGCAACTGAAGTCCTTTGATTCACTGTACTTTATTTTGGTATAAATTTACATTCATTATTGTTTTCCTTTGGATGTGTAGCCCTCAATTAGTGTGATGGCTCCATTAAAGCAAGTGAGACTTCGCCTTTAATTATTACAACAAAACACCTAGTTTCAGCTTGGGGAGAGGGTCTCTATTGACATAAGCAGAGGTTATAAAATTTAATTAGCCATTCCTATCAGATTTATGGCATTCAAATTGTTCTGTGGTTCTTCCCTTTGATCCTTGCTGTACAATCCCCAAGATTTTTGTTCTGATCAAATGAGAATAAAGCTTACTGTGCAGAGAGAAGTTTTCCTCCCCCCCTTTCCTTCTTCCTCTACTCCCCCCCCTACTTTTTTTCCTTTTTCTCACTTTTTCCTCCCCCTTTCCTCCTTCTAGGCAAGGTCAACCAGTTTACCCAATCACAACGGGAGGATTCAGGCATCCCTATCCAACAGCTCTGACTGTCAATGCTTCCATGTCAAGGTGAGTTCAAATAATCAGGGTCCTGATATCAGGGCATTGTGGGACTTCTCAGAATGTTTTCTAGTATCCCTTTTCATCTAGGAAGGGATGCTCAATGTGTATCTGAAAACAGTTAGTAGTTAATGATGTGACCTAGGTTCATGTTAGAGACACTCCCAGGCCAGTAATGGCAGTATTAAGATTGCATGGAACTCTCAATGTGGTTGTTCACGTCTGTCTGTGTCTGTCTTCCTATCTTGCTGCTGATAGATGATCTGATATCATATCTGTGATCTGTTTATCTAAAGCAACTAATTGAGCGGTGTAGAAAATGACATTAAAGGAACAGGAAGGAGAAGTCATGACTTTTTTTGTATGTCTTCTGTGTAGCCTTGGACTATTTGAGAAAGGAAAAGGGTGGTGGTAATTTTATTGTTATGCAAGCAGGTTCCAGAAAAGATTATTGGGCTCTTTTCAAAGCTCAAAACCCTGAGAATCTACATTAAAGGCCTGTCTGCCCCTGTAAAGTTTTGAAAGAAGATTTCAATTTGTATCTACGTGTGAATATGTGTGTGTGTATCTATCTATCTATCTATCTATCTATCTGTCTATATGTATATATAGATACACACACATATATCAATACTGTATATTTTTCTTTCCCATATTCCCCCTATCTTAGCTCCAATTAATTCTAGCTAATTTTCCAGTGGTTGCTAGTTTATTTACAAACTGGTTGGCAGTACTATGTTTAAGTAATCACTAATTACTCCTAATGATAGTTTTATTTTCTGTTCATCTGATTATCAGTCAAGTTAATTAAATCGGTGGAGGTTTAGACTTTCCTGATGGGCTGAAACAGCTAATCCATTTTGATGATGGCACATAATTAAGTTAGCATGCATTACATGGCAGGGATACTGTCCCCCTGTCTCCTCCTCCAAGCTCTGTAGCCCAACACATGAAATTGGAGGAAAGAGGAGGGTTTGGAGAGAGGAAAGGAATGCTTGCCTCAGGTGTAGAAAAGTGATGGGGTGCTGGTGGTCTGAGAGTGTAATGTGACAGTCCTTTGAATTGAACTATGTACAATTAATTAAAGGTAAAAGTTTTATATGTCCTGAATCATCATGTTTCACCATCTCAATTTGTATAGGAAAGAGAGAACAAATGAACACACATGCATGCATGTCTAAAGGAAGCTTTAAAGGATAAGTAGTTTTCTTTAAGTGGTGCCCAACAAGGCATGTGATCCCTTATAAAGTTCAAGTAAATGGAGAAAGATGAAAGAGGGAAACTCCCTCTTGAAAAGCTGGTGACCCAAAGCCCCCGGTCTCCCACTCCTGCATTTTATTTTGATGGTCATAGGGAATTTTTTGGTTATTTTTCTAATGAATTCCAAAGGCTGAATGTGCAGTTATAGGATGTGGATTAGGGTTGAGTTTATTGATTGAATTATTCTTTATGGGGTTAGTCTACAATTTCTTGGTGGGGGGAGCCAAAGAAAAAGGGGTAGAAGGAAGGGTTAGGGGAGAGCTGGGGTGGGGGAGAAAGTCCATTCCCCAGGTAGACCTTATGAAAGGTACCTAGTTAAAAAGAGTATACAGCAAATTAAATACATTATTGTCCTAATGGGCCGACAGAAGTACAGGTCTATTATACTTATGGCAGTTATAGGAAATGTAGGCAGCGTGCCCTGTTCCAGAATACCCTTTGATATTCATTCCATTCAGCAGCGGGGCCAAGACTTCTCGGAATTAAGTGATGGGTCATTATACTTTAAACACCACGGAGAAGCCTAGATTGGCAATTAAACAGCACTTGCTGACACTCACTTGTGCCACCCTGTGACCCCCTTTAGATTGAGATGTTGGAGCTCGGGGCCCTCAGCCTGCTAAATTGGTGCAAGGCGCTACTCCTGACGAGAGCTGGCTCTGAAATCTGCCGGCTTCAAAGGGAGCAAGATCATGTATAAACCATAATGTGGGTGCACCGTGGCTCAAAAAAAATAAGGCAGGAAGAGATGAAATGTTACAAGTGCAAGGGGGGGAATGAGAGAATAATGACAAATCTAATGCAACTCAAAGCAGGATTGTTGCACAGGAAAATGCATCCTACTGCTTGTGCATAAAATCAAGGCAGGCAGATGACATCCAGTTAACAGAAACATGTCAACAGTGAAGCAAAGTGAGACTGAGTAAGAGGGAAGCCCCTGAGACAGCCAGAAACAAAAATTAGTTGTCCTTAACAAGTTAAGGCTCATCATTATATTCTGGCTTGGAGCCATAAAAGCAGACAGGGGTATATAATGAGCTACTTAGAATTTTTAGGATGTTTATTGCATTTCATGAAATAGTTATCTGCAGAAGAGTTTCTTAAGCAAAGGGGTATGCATTCTCTTGTTCTCTCTGCTTTGCCCCCTCTGTCTCTGTCTCTGTCTCTTTCTCTCTCATACACACACTTGAGCAAGGTATGGATGGATGTGGATTTTTAAGTGTTTATTCTTCAACAGCCCCTGCTACCTCCTTTCTTCCCTGTCCTCCCCTTGAAATATAATCAATCCTTGTGGCCTTTTCCTCTGTTCTGCGTATTCTCTCTCTCTCATTTCTTTGCATACCTGTCCCTATTCACACTTGCCTAATCCAAGAAGGGAATAGGGTGGACTTACGTCATAGCCAACGTCTGATGTTGACAGCCAAGGCAAGCCCTCTGCCCAAGCCCTTCCAGGGACACGTATTCTTATTTCCATTATCCCCAAGGCTCTGAAGCAGTGGGGTGGAATGGGGTGAGGCCACGGGGCTTTTCAGACTTTAAGTCTCTTTGATGGTATCCAGTGGTTATGGTTATTTCTAAGTGAAAGATCACATTGGGTTAGAACCCAATCAATCATTTTCAAGTTTTGACATGCCCCCAAAGAGTTCAAGTTTTTTTTTTCCCCCGTACTTTTGAAATTTTCTTATTCAAAAGCCATCTCATCATCAAATAAGTATCAATTTAGAAGTGTGGCTAAAGAGCCTGGGAAGGAAGACTGTGGTTTAGAACTTGGAAGTCAGAAGGCCGGACTCTTTCTTTTTAATCCCTTTGATATTGTGCTATTTAAAATTATCCTATGCCCCCCTTGCATTTGTAAATAGTACTTTCATTTTCATTGTTCCTCAGTTAAATTACGTTATACTAATTTAATTAAATGGAAACTTTTTTAGGTACAAATCATTCATGACACATGATCTAGAGAACACGTTTTAAAATTATCATCAAAACAAAATTTCACATTTACTGGTGATATTAATCTCTTACCTCTGTCTAGAATAGTTTAGATCTGATTCTGTAAATCTGAGATTTATTACCCAGTAGAATTGAGCGGCATTTTTCCTGTTGTCAACATGGTATATGCTTCTGTAGAAACTCTTTGGCTTGTTTTATTTAAATGAATTCAAGGGATGACTTGGGCCTAGAGAGAGAAGAAGAAATGTTTTTCTTTCACCCAAACTCCTTTTAAGTACTTATTTGTAGAAATTGGTGAGGTTTGGTAGGGTACTGCCTTTTTCTTGTGAGACTACACCATTTTTTACCCTCCTGCCCTTACCTTTTGTCCCCTTTATCCTTTTGAAAGGTTGTGTAAAAATATTGACCCTTCCAAGTTGAACATACATTGCAATGTACTCATTTGGTAGATACTGAGAACTGCTTGTCCACTCTGATTTTAGCTTTCCTCGTTAGTTTGCTCATGTTTTATAAACTGATTCTGAAATTAGGAAATTGTCTTTCGATTTTGCCTATTGTATGTACTTAATAATGTTTGTTGAATGAATTGGGTTCCTGTAGCCCATTTTATCTTTCTGTTAGAGGTGTAGGGACACACCAATTTGATACCCACTGAAATGCTTAAAATAATTTTTCCCAAGCATAAAAAGTATAGAAATTAAAGTCAGGCCTAGGTTATTTGAACTGGTCACATTTTTCCTTGGTTAGTATAAGATATCTGAAGACACAGCTGTTAATAATTTTGAAGACCTCTTTATGCACATGTAGCATATTCTAAAACCAGAAGATATTTAGAAGTATGCAAATTTACATGTAGAGCCTCATTCATGTCACATACATATATGCTAAATTGTTATAATTTCTCAGCATCTTTATAATTTTTTAATCTTTATCATCTTAAAATGTTTTTCTCTTACGAGGACAAAGACTCATTACATATGAACCAAATGAGGGGAATTGTTTCTCCTTGTGGGCTCCCTGCCTTGAACTCTCTCCTTCCCCCCCTTACTCCCTACTAACCCTGCCAAAATTGTAAAGTACAACAGTTCAACAAGAACAAAAAGAAATTATTTTGCTCCATTGACAGAGTAAGGCCTAATGAGGTATGAACAGCATTGTCAAAAATGTGTGTAAATTCCAGTAGTGTTAATATTTTATTTAGCTGTCAATATACAACAAAAGATTTTGTCCTTAATTCCAGAACTGATTAGGACTGTGAAATTGGCTTTTTAGTTGCCACTAATAATAAGAAAGTGGACAAGTTGTTTCCAGCAGGTACCTTATATCCTACTTTTCCGCCCAAGTACATCAGTTGAGTATGTCTTTTGTTAAAGATGTTAAAAATCATAATGCCTCGTGTCAGTAGCAATAATGAAGGGGAAGATTGGCTTTAATGACATTATGAGAATCATTATGTTTAATTTATCGCTAATTAATGCTGACAGGTTTCATATGCTTTGGGTAGCTTTCATGTGCTTGTTACTTGCTTTTTTTTTTTTTTTTTTTAAATCTGTGTGTACATATCCGTCCCCATTCATTCATTTTTATTCTGACGATTTACACAGCTTTTTGTCTTCTAGGTTTCCTCCTCATATGGTCCCGCCACATCATACTTTACACACAACTGGAATTCCTCATCCAGCCATAGTCACACCAACAGTTAAACAGGAATCTTCCCAGAGTGATGTTGCCTCACTCCATAGCTCGTAAGTGTTCTCTTTTTATTTCGTTTCTTCACCAGTATGCCCAGTAGATGATTGCTGGTTGTTTTTTCAAAGTGAATTTGGCTGTTGTTAAACAAGAGCCAAATGGATGGATCCTTTGGAGGATCTGCATGGTTTATCTATTTATTTTGAGGTGATAAGGGCTGTCTCATTGATTGTGTCCACTGTGTGAGAGAATAGAAATGCTTTTTATGCATGTGGAAGGACCAAGATTTATAACTACTTCCCTGATCCCTAATCTGTTAATTGGACATTTGGGGTTTTGTTCTGAAGGAATGAAGAAAGTAGCTTGCTGGGGAATATGCAGAGTAAATGCATGTGCTTTTCCCTCAAGGTTTTAGGAAAACTTTTCATATTTAAGAAACTTTCAGATATGATTACAAAAAATCTTTTTTTTCCCCTCACCCTTTGGGCTATTTGAATAGTTTTGAGCAAAACTCATTGTAGGCTCTTTTGCTTTGTTTTGTGTTGTTTTTCTTGTGTCTTTACGGAATTAGTTATAAGGGAATTTGTGGAAATAGAAGAATGGGCCAGGGGGAGCCAGGCCGAGAGAGTCATTACCAGGGTATGTGTTTGTGTTTGTCTGTTCTTGAAATATACAGGAAACATCAGGACTCCAAAAAAGAAGAAGAAAAGAAAAAGCCCCACATAAAGAAACCTCTTAATGCATTCATGTTGTATATGAAGGAAATGAGAGCAAAAGTTGTAGCAGAATGTACATTGAAAGAAAGCGCAGCCATCAACCAGATCCTTGGTCGAAGGGTAGGTGATGAACGGCATCCCCAGGGGACTGGGGAGGGAACAATGCAAGAGAGACCTAGAGAACCTGGCACATAGGGGGTGGAGGGAAGAGCCAGAAGAGCAATGGATTTGGACAAACTGCTTTTCCTCACAAGTCCCAGTTTTAATCTCTTAATGTCCTGTGAAGGTCATAAGTATATGTTGGGAGAGGAGGCTGTAATTGGGCGTTTTATTACTAGTCAGACCAACTGTTAGAATTCCCTGTCTTCTCTGCCTTCTCCCCAAAACAGTAAAGGACAGAACAATCTAAGTGACAGATTGAATCTCATCTGAGCTGTCCTGGCCAAGCCCAGGGTCTCAGTGAAACGTAAATACAGAAGGCAATGCTATTTGTGGATGTCGGGAAAGATGAAGATTTCTCATATGTAATGGATATCGTACGTGTTGTGACATTTTGATTTCCTTTTTGTCTCTCCCCACCCCTTCGACCCCCAACCCTGCTACAGTGGCACGCGTTATCCAGAGAAGAGCAAGCTAAATACTACGAGCTCGCAAGAAAGGAACGACAGCTTCACATGCAACTCTATCCAGGCTGGTCTGCACGGGATAACTATGTAGGTGGCTATGTAGGTGGCTATTTTTTTTAGTAGTAGAGTTTGTAGAGAAGCACCTATGCTGGAAAACTTAAATTTGCTCACCTAAGCAAATTCCAGACCACATTATTACTTATTTGGTTTGCTTCTGAAGGGACCCTTACAGTGTCAGTCTGGTCATCCGTGGGGATGTTTTGGCCTTCATCTCTGAATGTGAACAAGGATTTGGCTTGATGTTTAGCATGACTGATACCCTGTGGTTCAGAGAGGACCAGGGATAGGGCTGAGTCACGTAGGAGAAAACATCTTCACGTTCATCTGCTTGGTTAACCTCTTATTGGGCCTTTGTAAAATGGCCTGCATGGCGTGCTTATCAGTCTCGTGTTGGAGTTCTCCGTTTCATGAGAGTGGAGGGGAGAGGCTTAACCACCCTCAGCTCTTGTAGCCCAACCCATGCTTCTCAAGGGAAAATGAGAGCGACTTCTATGTTGACATGGTAGAGAATGGAAGGATGCTTATGTCTGTCCTCAAGGATATAATGAAGATGAGGTTCTACTTAAGTTTTTACTCCCCCGAGGGAAACTGAATGATTACATGCTGTGGGGTGCATATACACTGCAGTGTTGTCAGTGATGTGGCCCACCTTCAGGACAGATAATCTGCTGGGTTTCTGTCATCAGCCATCTTGATTTTTCAGGAAAATCACTGATCTGCTAAGCTTTCATTCATGTTACTTCCCACCTTTTCACCCCTTATGAAAGTTTTCATTTACTTCTCTTAGGTTGGACTCAGCAGGACCGCATTTTACTCCCATGTTAACTTAATTCTTGAATCCCTGTTTTCCTTACTGTGACTTCTTTGAATCTAAAGTCTTTCTTTCATTGTTATTTGGCACAATTTTGTGTTAACATTTGGCCTTCTTTGAGTGACTTATCATCTACTGTTATTTAAGAGTTTCTTTCATTTTGCTCTTGAGACTAGTACTACTTTTCCCCTCCTCTCCTATTTTTGCCATGGTTAATATCCTTACCACCTGCCCCAGTTCTGATATGCATTTCTTAATGATCTAATCCAGGCTCTGTCACTCATTGGTGTGACCTGTACTAGGTTATTTCTGCTTGGCTGGGCCTCAGTTTGCTTTTTTTTCAAATAACAGGGTTAGACTCCAGGGTCTCATCCAGTGCCCATATTCTCTCTCCTCTGTGTCTTAATGTAGATGTGATTATATGAAAACTGAAGATTACCTTTTAGGATCTGAGAAACAACTAGACTTAATGGTAATGGAGAAGAATCAGTATCACTAATAATGAATGTGTTAGTTTTTTTTCTGTGAAGGGTACAAAACATTAAACATTAATATATACACTGATACTGTAATTATGTTTAGGAGTAATTATAAGTTGTGTGTATATTTGAAGTGGTCCAAGGCTGTATTTATATAGCTATTCCTCATTACAGAAATTAAAATAAAGAAAAAGAAGTCATTCTAACAAAATGTATTAAATAGAGAACCTATTGGAACAAGTCTTATAGAAAGAGCCCCTGGACCCTCTACTTCTCAGCCTGACTTTGTCACTATGACTTTGGGAAAGGCACTCAACCATTCTGGGACTCAGTTTTCTCCTCTGTATAATTTGTGTGTGTGGGGAAGGGAGGGAGCTGGACTAGATGCTTCCCTAAGCCCCCTTCTCTGTTTAAAGTTTTGTGATCTTAGGATCCGTTTCAGTGGAGATGGCAGAATTGAAATGACTTCCCACTGGGTAAGACAGTAATAGCTTCCTTTGGCAGCTTAGAAATGCCTTTGCAATCTTCCTCCCCCTCTTCCCCCCCTGCCCTCTCCTCTGTAAGCACACAGCACCTTGGGTCTGGTCACCCATCTCCCCATTGTACCCTGCCCACTTGGTGTACTGTCAGTGAAGCTTTTGAGACCATGGGGTTGAGTAGCTGTTAGCACGAGTCCCCAGTCTGAATTCCTCCTGAGAGTTGAAACAGGAATTAGTGTGAGGACCTGAACGAAAGCTTTAAAAGAAGTTTCAAGAAATGTGTGTCACTGACAGATGGGCATGTGCAGTGTCTTAAATGTTGGGGACCTTTACATTTGTCCCCAGCATGTGTGCACTGTCAAACCCTTTCTTCTAGAGCTGAAAGGAAGAGGATGAGAAGGCTAATGCTTCCTCACAAGCTTGATGTGCTCTCCCCACCTGACCCTGAGGTAGAGCCTTCCAGCAGCAGGAGAGCTCCACAGCCTTGGATCACACAGCCATATCACTGGCAGGGCTGCTGCCCTTCACCCCCTCCCCCGCACTCCCACCCCACCTCTTGTCAAGAGCTCTTGGAGTTGACTTCATGTCTCCTGCCTCCTACGGACACCTGTTCTTTGAGCAATCTAGAATGGAGCCATGGGAAGAATCCAAGCCCGCCTCTCGGATGGAAGGCAATAGTGAATCACAGAGTCAGCCCTTAGAGGCCTTGAGACCTTGGGAAAGTCACTTTCCCTCTTTGATCCTCAGTTTCCTCATCTGTCAATTAGAAGATTTGAACCAGATACTCTCAAAGGTGCCTTCCAGTTCTAACATTCCATGACTGGAAATCATTTACGTATGCTTTTCCATGTAAGCCCTTTTATTTATGTCTATGAGAAATCAGTAACTTTTTTCTTGATGTGGTTGATTCAGTAAAGAGTCAGAATGACTTTGGTTCAGTTTTGCTATATGACCAAGGTTATACCAGAGCTATTAAAAGACCAGATAAGTCTAAGGTGGGGAGATGAATGACCTTGAAAAATAGGACCTCTTGTCTTCTGCCACCCCTAACCCTACCCCTACTCCTCCTGGACTGCTGCCAGCAAGCCCTGCCCTACCCCCTACCCCAATCTGTAACGTAACTTTTTGCCTCATAGGTAGGCCTTGGCTTTAACTTCTGCTGATGAAGCTATAAAATAGCTCATTTGGGACCTTACCTCTTGACCTTTTCACCCAGTGTTAACATGGAGGCTTCCTGAGATCACTTTACCAAGATGGGGCCCATTGGTAAAGACATACAATTTCTTTAAGTGATTATCCCAAGTTCCCCTCATGGCTGCTGTTAATGTGAGACGGTGGGCCTGTAAGTGCTAGATGGTATGAAATGCTGTTCACATTTCTAGCAGGCAGCCCAGTCATTGGGAACGTGATGTTAATGAGGCCGTGGTTATACATTCAAACTCCCAACACTGGGAGAAACAGGTGGAAACATTCAAATCCAGTCTCATGTTTTGTATGTCTTGCTGTTCTCTACTGTACCTTTGCATAGGCTATCCCCAATCCTAGAGTGTCCCACCTCCCCGCCTCAGGTGCCACTTTCTGGTTCCCTTCTCCCTTTCCACCATTATTGTCAGTACTTCCCCACCCCTACTCCCCGCCTAAATACTTAATATTTATTTTGTGCTTACTTGTATACATATTGTTTCCTTGCAGTAGAATTAAGTTCTTATTTTATTGTTACTTTTTTTTGTCTTTATATCCCCACTCATTGAACTGGGGTCTTCCTGACTCCAGGCCTAGCACTCTATCCACTGTACCACTTAGCAGCCTAGTAGGGTATAATTTGCTCCCTGAAGAGGAAAGAGAAATCAGGTGTGTGAACATTTTGGTGCCAAGAGGCCTATAGGAGTTTGCATTTGGTCATAAGAAAATACTTTCTCCTTTTGGAAAGAAATTCCATTCAAGCCCAAGTTCCAGATAAAATTTACTGGAAGCTTTACCTCAGAGAACTAACCAAAGAGATTTTCTTTTAAACCTAGCAAAAAACTTTCGCCGTGACACCTGCTCATAGCTCTGTGTGATTTCCATTCTAAGGAGGACTGACTCTTCTTGGAAGACATCTGGTCAAGCTCTGGCTTTCCTTGGTGTTTTCTGAGTTCTCTGCAGGTTTTTTTCCATGTCTGGCATCAGCAGACACAGAGATGCTTGAGGAAGGGAGGTCATTTGAATGCCCTGAAAATAGTGAAAGTAAGCTATCTACTTTGTGCCACCCACAACCTTTGTTTTTTGCTGTTTATGCATTTATGCCCTTACACCTCACTTGTTTGGAGTAGTGGGCTAATGAGGCCAAGGTTGTGGGTGTTCAGACCCCAGGAAGTGGCAGTGAACATTGCATGCATGGGGAGGGGAAGAGAGGTGGAGGGACACTTTGTGCCATAGCCCTAGCTGTCTCATCAATAGGAAGGCAGACAGGTTGGATGAAAAATGAGAATAACTCATAGAATCATAGGCGCTATGGAAAGAACCTCAGGAGGCATGTTATCTAATCCCTTTCCCCATAATGGAATCCCGACTATAATGCCACCTTGGGATCATCTGCCTCTTTCCCAACACCTCTTATGATGAGAAACTTACTACCTCCAAAGACATTTTGGACAGCTCTCACAGTTAGGAAATTCATCTTTGTATTGAACCCAAATTCCCCCTATAATAACTTTAATTTATTAGTTCTATTAAGCAAAATAAGTCTCCTCCATGGGGACAGAATGAAAGAAAATCCATTTAAGTATTTGAAGACAGTCATGATGTACCCCTAAGTTGCTCAACTCATTATTGCCACTAGAAAAACAAACACATGCTACTTACACTGCAGGTAACCACATCACTGCCTAAGATATGGGTGTTGTCTCTTGGGTGAGAAAATAGCAACTAGAGATGCTGAAAATGGGACATGCAGTGGATCTTAGATGATTTCTGCTTTTGTGTTTTAATTGGGGTCTAGAAATAATGGTGAGTTTCCTTCATTTAGTCATGGAAGAGGACATAAACCAAACTCAACAAGATCCTTTGGTTGTTTGCATTCATTTTGTAGAACACATTGGCTTTTTTGAAAAAGTGAGTTTTGAAGGAATGTGAAATTCATTAAGTTTAATTAAGCAACTGAAGTGTTAAATTGTTTTATCAGTATATACCAGTTCATGGATAGGAAGCCTCATGTGTTCCCAGTATGATGGTTTTTGTATTCTTCAACCCTACATTTTCTTGACTTTGTTCATCAACTGATTCTTTTATTGATTTTTAACAACATGCTTCCCCAAAACATCTCTCCATCCCATCCACCTCATTGATTGGCTCCAAAATAGCATGCTTTCCACAATTCTGTCTTTAATACCTCATGTGAAAAGAAGCTCACAGCCTCACAAGAAAGTCTTTTCTATTTCTGAATAACTCTAATTGTTAGGACATTCTTCCTTGTATTGGGTCAAGATCTGTCTTCCTTTAAATTCTAACTGTTAATCCTTGTTCTGCCTTCTGTGTCCTGGTAGAATAAGCCTTATTTCTTTTCCCTATGATAGCCTTTTAAGTATGGACTGTTTCATGTTTGGGGCTGGTCATAGGTGAGTGAGGAGACATCTTTTCTGTCCCTGAAGTTGATCACCGACTTGTTTCCCATATATCCTTTCTCTTTGGTTCCTTTTCCTTCCCACTGAGTATAAGTCTGATGTGTATCTTTCTGGCTGAACACATTGGATGCTGCTATTAAATGTTAATAAGCAGCTGGATTGAAGGGGTATCAAAGCTCTCTGCATCTTTTCTTCCCTCCCTCCTACCCCGGGCCGCCACCTAGAATCTGATCACAAGGGGTAACACCTATAAATACATGCTTTACATATCCCTCTCTTTCCACATGAACACAGGAGACTGGGACCTCCCTTCCTATCTCCTGAAATAATCCTCCTGTGTTTCATATGTTTTATGCAGGGGAAGAAGAAGAAGAGGAAAAGGGACAAGCAGCCAGGAGAGACTAATGGTAAGTTAAATTAATTAATCCCGAGGAGAAGGGGGGGCATGGCAAGGACCTCACTTTTATGTCAGGCTTGTATCTGGGGGAGAGAGGAGAAATCCAAGGCCAGGGCATTGTTGAGTAACCCATCTGTAGCTAGCCTTTTTGTTTATGCATTTTAATTAATTGCTTCACGACTGCCCTTTTAAAGCTAGTAACATTCATTTTTTGCATGAAAAGCATATTGTGATTGTAGTGGAATGTGTTTTTAAATAACTGCAAAGCCATTAACAGCAGAGCTGTAGTCATGCCTATGCGTGGTTTATAAAGTTTGCTAATTTTGTGTGAGTCTGCGTGGGGGGGACTAGGGGGGGCGGGGGGGGGGCCGGGCTTGGGCGGGCCCATGTGTGTGAGTGTTGGACATTCCTTTGGGCTGTACCCGAATGTTCTGATGCATGCCTTTACAGTGGTAAATTGCACCCATTTTAAATTAAGGAGGTTTGTCATTCTCTAGAGGAAATTAGAAATACTGCATAGGCAATCTCAGAGCCCACTTGGAGAAGCCAGCCCTTTACAAACAAACATTTTTTGAAGACTTTGTATAATTTGTTCTTTTTTTTCAGAACACAGCGAATGTTTCCTAAATCCTTGCCTTTCACTTCCTCCGATTACAGGTGCTAATGTCATTTTGAGTCATTAAAAGTAGTTGATAAAATGTTTTTTACTTTTTCTTGCCATTATAGTTTTATTAACATTAAATATGTATGACATTGAACATTCTTAAGAAATGACCATCCACATGTTTTGATGTGTTTTGGTAGCAGTTTTTTTTTTTTTCCGTTGTTTTTTGTTTTTTGTTTTTTGTTTTGTTTTTTTGGTTTTTAATTTAATTTAACTCTGGTTTTATTTTTTCATAACAGTTGTTTAAACATTGAAAGTGCTTTAGAGTTGAACTAACTGTGCAAATTGAATATGCAGTATTTCTTTAAAGAGACTGGTAAAGAATGGAAGGAATTCTGTAATAAACCTCCTTAATCTAATGGCATTTTTTGCATTGCTCCCACTAAGTTTTCTCATGCAAGCATGCATCCGCAGTATGATTTTTTTGTTCGTTTTTTCTTTTACTTTCTTTTTTCTTTTTCTTCTTTTGCTTTGCCGCTTAGCTTACAAATTGCAGTTCACTAGCTTTCACTGACTCAGTGCCTGCTTCATGCCTCTCTTAGTTTCTGGCTAATACTAACACTCCATTCCGCACAGTCTGTTTATTCTTTTCCATTCCTATCTTAATATTAATAAAAACCAAACAACAGGAAAACAAAAGTTGAATGTTATAAAAGCTGCAATATCCCAATATAATCTATTATTCTTTCTTTATTTCTTTCTTTTTTCATTGGTCTTATTTTGTTTGACTTTTTTTTTTTTTAAACTGTTAAAACTCTTGAGTGGAAGAAAAAAAGCATGTTAAGGACCTTAATTCCTCCCCCTTCGCTTTCTTTTCTTATTCTTTTTTTTTGTTTGTTTTTAATTTAAAAAATTTAAAAATAAAATAGAAAGAGGAAATTCCACAAAAATGAAAGTTATCTAGTGACTGATGTCCCCTTATCTGTTTGATATGAGACAGTCCTTGGAGAAGGGATACTGCAGCTTTATTTGCAACAGCTAATTACAAGTTGAATGAGAATGTAATTTTCACTTTTTTAATTAAAAAAACTTTTAAAAAACGAAAGTGAATATTTTGCAATTAGTAACCAGGTCATTGATTTATTCCCTTTTTTATTTTTATTTTTTTCTTATTTTTATCTTTCTCTTTTCCCCCTCCCCTCTCTCTCTCTCTCTCTCTCTCTCTCTCTCTCTCTCTCTCTCTCTCT